AACGTATGCCTATAGAAAAGGCCCTTATATGCGTCTTGACATAAAGTGAGCACAAGAAATGTTTTATTACTTGTTTTTCGAACAACGTAATCATGACAAACAAGTTAAATGTTAAACAAAGGAGTTGTTATTGCAATAATCGGGCAGTCACGACAATATATACATATTTTAACATGTATTAAATAATGAGCAATCGTTAAGAATAATTGTAACAATTTTACAATAGAAAAATATATGCCCTTGAACATAAAGCAATGGAAGCTAAACATGCAAAGAATTATTATCATTAAACATTTGTAACCATCACAATCATAATATTACATAGAACAATTAACAACAAAGTACTTATTAAGAATATTACCTTCTAATTAAAACGGGTTAAACCCTTAGATTTTTCACTATTTTGCCACACTGCCCGCCGATCGTCTTCCTCCCATCTCCACACTGTTCTCACTTCAACTATTTAGGCTTCCTTCCAGAATTCCCCACCTAAGCTTTTGTTTTTGCGCTTCCTTCTACCAACTGTCAATATTACGTTTTCATTATTATACAACACTCACGTAACAGGTGACGTCGAAGTTGATACGATAAGTATGGTTTTGCACAAAAGTGACCCTCAAATTTAACGTAGAATCCGAAAATGCAATAATATATAGTGTCCCATTTAAAATAACGAAATTGGTGTCGACTTCCGGTATAACCGGAAGTGCTGGAGAGTTCTAGATATTTTGTGTTGTGTTCGCCACAGGGGCATTGCCATGTTTCCAAATTTTCAAATTTTTTGGATCAATACTTTCCTAGATATCGATCGACGCAGTTCCCTGTGGGAATATCCACTCAGTGTGCATCAATCTTCAGTTTAAACATGTAATCAATCAAAACTATAAAACTCAGCTTAACCTAGTTGTTGAAATGGCAAATATACCTACCCCTAAAACATTTTATCTACGACGTTTACTTCAAAATAATTCATTATGTCCTTTTTTATTACAGCTCTCCGCGGTAGTAGACGGTGTCTACGCCGATCACTCCCACATCGCCGGAAAATTCACCATGCTCTCCTCCAGCAGGGTGTACGTGGGCGGCAGCATCAACACCAGGGCACTGCCCGGGGCCAGGGTACATAACAACTTCGTCGGATGCATGCGGAAAGTGAGTTTATTGCTTCTGCCCGGATAATGTTAGACGGGTGACCGCATCTCTCGGCCTTCCGGTGAAATGCGGTAATAAAGGCGCTCGCCTAAGTTGCACGTGTCGCATTTTGCTTGCCGTTTTAAGTAAACGCCGATATGATATTTGCTCTGTATTATTTGATATAGCTGCCTATCAGACGAAAGAAACATTTTTACCTGAAATTCTAAAATAGTATTGTCCTCTGAGGAAGAAATAAACTACAGTAAAAACTTCTAAATAGCGGTCACAAAAATGTATTTTATAAAATGATCATTGTACAAAAGTGGCTACTATTGAAAAAATAATGGAGGCCAAAAATAGACCGATAGAAATAACTCATTTAGAGGGAAAGAAAAAGAAAATTGTTACCTGTACTGTATAAGTGGACATGGTCCTTTACCATTATATAATAAAAAAAAATGCGTGAGCAGGGCTGACGGAGGGTTGATTTGGTGGGTTTAAAAGTTGTGAAAAATTGTATCATTGTTATTTCTGGCGAAAGATGACGTCAAACAAAAAAGTATCCAATACAAAAGTTGTAGATCATGCAAAAATCTACAACTTTCGTAGAGGTCACTTTTTAAGATAACCTCAAAATTTTCGAAAAAAATGGGAAATATAGGTTTTTTTCTTATTTTTCGTTTTTTATTTCTCATTTCCGCAAAAATAATTTAATTTTGATCAAACCTGGTAAAAGTATTCCTTTCTGTGTCTTAAATAACCACACATTTTTTAGATAAAAAAATCAAGAAGTTTCCGAGATATTCATTTTTTCAAAGAAAAATTCTACTTAGAAAAATCATCGTACAGAGTTTTGCCGGTGATAATTTTTTTCGTTTCGACCTATACTTTTTGGTGAAATAAAAAAATCTGTAATCACAGTTCAAAAACATGCTCAAAAATGCAAAAAAAAAAATAAAAAATGACGCAACAATGAATTTTTCAGTATTTGTTGATAATTTGTTTAAATTTAAAAAAAAATCAAAATTCGCCATTCAGTTGTACGGAAAAAATACAAAAAAAAAACTGTCTCATTGTTTAACCCAAAGCTTTATTTTTGTACATTATTGCTATAAACATAAGTCGAATAGTGAATAAATAAAATAAATAATTTTTTTTCGTAAGATTGATTAGTGCACTTTTTTTAATTTTGATGGATTCATAGATATACAGTGTGTCCAAGATAAGGATGGGATAGCATTAGAATCTAGGAAACGGTAAGAGATACGGGGTGGTTCAGATTAGAAAAAAGTTATGTTTTTTTATACGTAGCAACATGCCGTTGAGAAAGTTTTAAAATTCCGGGTTGTTCCGAATATATCTCGAAAAACCCGAAGTTTTGCAAAATTGTTTAATTTTTTTCTGGCTTTGTGAAAACGAATTTTAAAATAAATTGGATATATACAATGCCACTTTTTTCGCTCTATACGTCTTCGAGGGGTCATCAGGTTAATTTTTTTTAAATACGTCGCTGCTATTTTTATGACAAAATTTAGTCACTTTTAATTCTGAATTAGATGATATTACTATTGTAATCGCTTAAAAAGTTTTTAGCTTGTTTTAGCTATAATTTAAAATTTTTCCTGAGTACGACTGAACGCTTTCAAAATATGTATTGGATGAAGTCATAACAGAATAAAAGTCACGGTCAGTTTTTTTTACTACTATTAGCAATACTAAGAAGAAATAATAAAACAATTTCATAAATTCGTATTAATTTTTTATTAGGTACATTTTAAATTATTGATTTAAAAAAATTGTTGGATATTTGGTGTTGTATTGACTTTTATACTGTTATGACTTCATCCAATAGATATTTTGAAAGCGTTCAGGTTCAGAGGCATACTCAGGAAAAAATTTAAATGATATCTAAAACAAGCTAAAAACCTTTTTACAATAGTAGTAATATCATCTAATTCAGAATTAAAAATGACTTGATTTTGCGATAAAAATAGCAGTGACGCATTTAAAAAATGAACCTGATCATGGCCCCTTGAAGACGAAACGAAGGATTGCAAAAATATTGACGCCATTGGATAGAGCGAAAAAAGTGGCAATGCAAATAAGCAATTTATTTTAAAATTCGTTTTCAAATAAAACCAGAAAAAAATAAAACGATTTTACAAAATTTCGGGTTTTCGGGTTTCGCGTCAACAGTATCTAGACTTTGCAGTTAATACTTTGTATTGCTGAAATCTCAAATCATCTAGAGATAATTTATCATTTGTGTATTTTTAAATCGACTTAGATGTTTATAGCAATACTGTACCAAAATAAAGTTTTGGGTCAAACAATGGGACAGTTTTTTTTATTTTTTCCGGAGAATTGAATGGTGTAATCAGTTTTTGAATTTTTTTTAATTTAAACAAATTATCAACAATTACTGAAAAATTCAAATCATTTTTTATTTTTTTACATTTTTGAGCATATTTTTGAACTGTGATTACAGATTTTTTTTATTTCACCAAAATGTATATGTCAAAACGAAAAAAATTATCACCGGCAAAACTGTACGACGATTTTTCTAAGTAGAATTTTTCTTTGAAAAAAAAATATTTCAGACCGGAAAAAATGATTATCTCGGAAACTTTTTATCTAAAAAAATTTGTGGTTATTTAAGACACAGAAAGATATACTTTCACCAAGTTTCATCAAAATTAAATTATTTTTGCGGAAATGAGAAATAAAAACGAAAAATCAGAAAAACAAGTTTTTCGCATTTTTCTCGTAAATTTTGAGGTTATCTTAAAAAGTGACATCTACAAAAGTTGTAGATTTTTGCATAATAATAGATACTTTTTTGTTTGACGTCAACTTTCGCCAGAAATCCCAATAATACAATTTTTCACAACTTTTCAACCTCCCAAATCAACCCTCCGTCACCCCTGCTCACGCATTATTTTTTTTTTAGTTTATTATAAGTCCTTTCACCATTTCCATTTATNTACAGTTCATCACGGTGACATGCATGAGCAACACTAAATATTAAGGCAACCTAAAAAGAAAACACTAAATGTAGATATTTTAATATTTTCACTTCTAAACTTACCTTATTCATTAACCTACAGTCTGTGTGATTAGAAAGGCCCCGAGTTATAACTCGATTACCCTTTTTCGGACACCCTATAAATTGGATGTTATTTTCTTTATACTGACACACAAACATTTTTTTTCCGACACACTAGATGAGTGTTGACGTCATCGATATTTTTTTTTTTTTAAATGGGATTGTATAAATTTTTTACACGTTTTGATTGATTTTTTTTTATTTCTTTTCCAACATAAAATTTGTATGCCTTTGCATAACGAAATTTTTGAGAAAAAAATGAGAAAACGTTTAGCCTTTGACTTTAGTTTACGGTGCTCGCTTTCTAAATCATGTCAAATAGAAGGCTCTGGAAAAACAATTTTGCATACCGCAATGTCACATAATAATCCAGGCGAATTAGACCAAACGCATGCCTCTTTCAAAAATCAGGCCTAACTCGAATTTTATGGGCTTAAAATTAAGCAAAAAATATGCAGAATAAATGACTAAATTTGTGTATTTGTAGAGGTCGAGCGTCATATTGTTCACAATAAAAAAATAATAATTGCTCTTTTTTCAGTTTTTCGCTTATATCTCCGAAAATAAGCCTCTAATCGACATGAGGTATACTTAATTTTGTTCCTGAGGAAATTTGCTACAAGGATAGGCTTTTCCGAAAGCTCCCAAAATTTTTTGTACGTTGCAAAATTAGCGGTGAAGAAAAAAATGTGCGAAATTTTCATCAGTAAATAAAAAGAACGAATTTGACTAAAATAGGATGAAGCTACTGAAAAAAATAACTGTTGGGGTGCTCAACAAATACCCGTAATCCGGATCCCCAATTTCAAAATGGCGGCCTACGGCAAAATAATAAAGTCGAAAATGTGAGCGCGTATATCTTCTGCCCAAGTCAAGATATCGAAATTCGGTAAAAAAGGATTGAAAGAATCAGTGTGGGTGATGCCTCCGCGAGAGGAATTGTTCCAAGGGGCTGTCCACAGGGAGGTGTTCTATCACCACTGCTGTGGAACTTAGTTCTAGACAGTCTCTTGTGCCACCTCAACTCGGAAGGCATCTATACCATCGCTTATGCAGATGACCTCACTATGCTGATTAGCGGTAAATTCGAAGGGATCCTTTGCCAAAGAATGCAAACANCATTAGAATCTAGGAAACGGTAAGAGATAAGGGGTGGTTCAGATTAGAAAAAAGTTATGTTTTTTTATACGTAGCAACATGCCGTTGAGAAAGTTTTAAAATTCCGGGTTGTTCCGAATATATCTCGAAAAACCCGAAGTTTTGCAAAATTGTTTAATTTTTTTTCTGGCTTTGTGAAAACGAATTTTAAAATAAATTGGATATATACAATGCCACTTTTTTCGCTCTATACGTCTTCGAGGGGTCATCAGGTTAATTTTTTTTAAATACGTCGCTGCTATTTTTATGACAAAATTTAGTCACTTTTAATTCTGAATTAGATGATATTACTATTGTAATCGCTTAAAAAGTTTTTAGCTTGTTTTAGCTATAATTTAAAATTTTTCCTGAGTACGACTGAACGCTTTCAAAATATGTATTGGATGAAGTCATAACAGAATAAAAGTCACGGTCAGTTTTTTTTACTACTATTAGCAATACTAAGAAGAAATAATAAAACAATTTCATAAATTCGTATTAATTTTTTATTAGGTACATTTTAAATTATTGATTTAAAAAAATTGTTGGATATTTGGTGTTGTATTGACTTTTATACTGTTATGACTTCATCCAATAGATATTTTGAAAGCGTTCAGGTTCAGAGGCATACTCAGGAAAAAATTTAAATGATATCTAAAACAAGCTAAAAACCTTTTTACAATAGTAGTAATATCATCTAATTCAGAATTAAAAATGACTTGATTTTGCGATAAAAATAGCAGTGACGCATTTAAAAAATGAACCTGATCATGGC